CCCCCCAAAGGGTTCAAGTATCTGAACATGATATGAACCCACTTGTCCATATCTCTGTGTACCGGTCCACCTTTGGTCCTAATTATTGGACCGAGTTATCATCTTACTTAAGCCTGTCCTGGAATGTCCCAACGGACAATAAAGAGGAACATTACTATTAGGTGGAGGCCCTCTATTGGGCTTGCAGGCCATCACTATGTGGGAAAATAAGCGTTACCCAACTCCTAACATTACTGTAATGTAGGCAATAAGCTACTAGGAACAAGTGCATCGCTTCTAGTAACAAGTGCCTTACTAGTAGTAACAAGTTAACAAGAAGCTAGTAGAAACAATCAGCTACTAGGACACGTACACCGTGAAAAATGCTGTGAATGATCGCGCGTGACCCCACACCTGTGACCGCTCTCCTCACCGTTCGTTCGACCCCGGCTGTGGGGCACAGGTTTGGACGAGCTCTGCGTCAAACAGGAAGTGCACACATGATTGAACCAGTGCTATTCATCTTAAAAAAGATTAAACCAAGTGCAATCTATGTAGAACTCCAAAAGCATTATATGATGCAGTTTATCTAACAATCGCACTGTGAGGATACCTTTTGCCAGCACAATGCTCTTTGGCACGCCATCACTTTGGATTGGCAAATGTGCACATGTAATGGTCAGGTCGCTCGATGGCGAATGCTTCTCACGGTTCTCATTGCGACTTATGGATATTGGACTGGCGTGGGCCAAGCAGGAGTGACGATCGGCACCTTATGTGAAAACACCGTGTTTCATGTTTTTTGCTTTAGACCTTTAGACTGCTTTTAACATGTTTTTAAGACCAGAAAAGAAGCTATTAGTAACAAGTGCATCGCTTCTAGTAACAAGTGCCTTACTGCTAGTAACAAGGACGCTACTAGGAGCTTTTTTGCGACCTTTAGACCGTGAAGAACATGTTTTAACACTTATTTGTTCCTTTTTTTTTCGTATTTGTTCATGTGTTTCACTGTGCTCGCCATTTCATTGGTTTCCTCCAAGGGCTCAGCTCCTACGGGCAAAGCTGCCTCTCCCAGAGGTGTGACCTTGGCACAAAGCAAACAGCTGAAATGAGTGACTGCAAGGGAACGCAAGTGGTAAGTATGATTGGGACCAGTCATGCTCAGGAAATGCGACATGGAGACAGTGATACAAAACACTGTCACTCGACTGATAATTCTTCAAGCAACACAAAATTCAATAATCGATTGAGTTTTGCATATATTTGCACACTTGCCAAACGTTTGCCATCATTGACAAGGGTTTGCCCCCAAAACAAAATTACACTATATATATATATGGCATGCCGCAACATGCCAATTCTGATTTAATTCCTGTCTGTCTGCTCCAAATGACCAATCCAACGGTAAAAACACCACGCATGAACAAAACAGAATTATCCATACTTTCGGTCAGATTTCTTTAAGCTTACCCCGGTACTGACCACAGTTGTGGGAACATGTTTCGCACATGTCTCGCATGGCCATCTATTTTGAGTCGTCAACACTTAGGCGCCGGTCTTGGTGCGTGCTCTTGGCTTCGAGACTGAGCGCATTTGACGGAAACCATACTTGTGACAGTGCTATGTGGTTCTACAGGGCATTGATATGCATTGATCAATTGCGCAAGGTTTTGCATTTGCGAAAGACCAAATAAAAACTGATTTTGACTGTAATTATGTCGGTCCTTTGCCTTTGGGCGCCCAACATGCACAATACACGAATAGCCTGGGCCTGCTTGCCCCATGTGTTTGAAGTGGGTTTAATCATGGAAAGGGCCCTACGAGTGCAGGTGGGGGGCCATCGCTTCAAGGTTCTATTTGTCTGCTATTAGTGACAAGTGCATCACTTCTAGTATCAAGTGCCTTACTAGTAGTAACAAGAAGGTATTAGAAACAATAAGCTACTAGGAACAAGTGCATCCCTACTAGGAGCAAGGGCCTTACTAGTAGTAACAAGGATGCTACTAGGAACAAGAAGCTACTAGATGTGTGCCACTTACAAAGCGTGGTCGAGTGAGTTCTTGACGTCGAATTCAACCAGATTTTCTTTTGTTGGTAAAAACTATTCGTTTAATTTAATTCTAATAGCTTTTTGTTACTACTAGTAAGGCACCTGTTACTACTAGCGATGCACTTGTTACTACTAGTAACAAGAAGCTCTATTGTTTGTCATTGTTTGTCTTTTGTGTCTTTGGACCAATCTTCCTTCACTTACAGCGCGTGGCTGTGAGAAATGGCAGCCTGGAGCGGATGGACAACATGCCGCTGGCTGGCTCGATGGGAGTGACCGTACTGTAATGGTGCTCGCGGAAGTGTTGCCAAAATCCAAGGCTTGGAAGGCCCCGATTTGATGCGTTTTTCGTGATTGGGCAACTGAGCTTGTGCAAAAACCTGGCAGCGAAAACAAACAGATCTCGCAACTTGCGTGTGTAGCGCTTGACGCCTCTTTAAACCCATGGCCATTAGAAACCACTTTCAAAAACCATAGCCTCTCCACAATTCCGTATGGCAGCAAACACCAAACAAACGCTTGTGTTGGGCATCTGACCTCAATGCCGGTGGGAGTGACGGTGACCAAATCATAGCCTGCGTCCTCAAAATGACGATCATTGCGAGCTGCTAAGGACCTTTAGGCCTTTGTTCTTAGTAGCTTCTTGTTGCTAGTAGCGATGGCCGCCAACCCAATAGCGATGGCCTCCACCTAGTAGCTTCCTTTTACTAGTAGTGGAGCTACTAGTAGTTTCTTGCTCCCACTAGCGATGCCCTTTGTTCCTAGTAGCGTCCTTGTTACAAAAGAGTTGCACTTCTCAACACTTCAGGAATGCCTCCAAAGAGACAAAAGGTGATGACCAAAACCTTGAAAAATTGGTTTAAACAAAAATGAAATGAAAAAGGACAATAGGAGAGTAATTAAGGGAGATTTTTGGAACAGAAAGTAAGGGAGTTGTAGTACCACTACCTTCCTTTGTTCATCGAATCGAAAGGGTTACAAGAAGCTACTAGTAACAGGTGCCACGCTACTAGAAACACGTGCCTTACTAGTAGTAACAAGAAGCTACTAGAAACAAGTGCATCGCTTCTAGTAACAAGACAAGCTGTCTACCCCGCAACGACCAGTGTTCACGTTCTCAAGGGAGAGCCCCTCTCGCGGCGGGAGGGAGCCTACTTGAAGTTTAAAAGGATCTCGGTCTCCAAACAATTAGGTTGGAGGCCATGGCTAGTAGGTTGGAGACCGTTACTACTAGTAGCAAATAGCTACTAGTAGCTTCTTGCTACTAATAGTAACAAGGAAAGGTCTAAGGGTCCTTAGCACCAGCTTACAAAGGTCTCCAACTAGCTCTTCGTTCGCTAGCTTCTTCCCAAAGACAGGAAGGTCAAAAGAAACAAAAACACAATGTTCTTTGCCATTCTTTGCACCAAGGAGCTGTCGGAGGCATTGGCCCCTGGTATGAAGGCCTCTATTTCACTGGCAATTCTTTCGCATTGTTTCGATGCATGTGTTTTGCTCATTCTTTCAATGTGTTCTTTTCTTTTGACTACATGTGTCTTGTTTCTTATATTTTTTAACACGTAATAGTATCATGTTACTAGTAGCGATGCCCTTGTTACTAGTAGCTTCTTGCTACTAGTAATGCCAGGAGCTACTAGTAGGTAATGGTTTCTCAAAGAATGACAAAGATGAGAAAACATGTTCACACAGGTGTCTCAAAGTGGCTGAGACCACTACGCAGCTTGACCGGTCATCTGCTGCGTTGGTGGCATCGCAGGTGAGGGTGTTGCTGCAGACATGGATGGAGAAGATGCAGACATCGGAGGAACACCAGCTCTGGCAAACCTCAGCACCAAAAAAAAAGTGCCACACGCAGCTCTTGGTGCATGGACTGAGGAGTACTTCAACTGAGGCTCACACTGAGGGCCACCAGGGTACATCAAGGGAAGCTGCGCGCAAAAACACGACGTTCGAACGAACTGAAGACAGTTGGCTCACGGGGTTGCGACTCAGTCCCACGGTCCCACCTGATCCTCAGCGTACCTCACCCGAAGAAACTGACGAAGAGCTTTCTGTTTCTAGCGTCCTTGCTCCTAGTAGTAAGGCCAGGAGCCCCTAGTAGCTTCTTGTTACTACTAGTAAGGCACTTGTTACTAGAAGCGATGCACTTGTTCCTAGTAGCGTCCTTGCTCCTAGTAGTGCCTCTGGTAGCGACTATCCAAGACTCTTCTGACTTTTCTCTGATTCCATCCTGATGGCCTCCAACCTACTAGGGCCGCGTTTTTTTTTAAAGGATTTTTTTCCGTTTTTTTTGGGATTTTTTTTCTGGTCCTGTTGTGGGCGCCTTCCCTCAAGCTGTCCACCTGCAGCAGCACAGTGCTCACGACACTGGCCACTGCAGGCAGCACAGCTTTGCAAGCTGGCCACCTGCAAGTGCTCACCTTCTTTCCTTCCTTCCTTTCTTGCTGCCTTCTTTCCTTCCCTTCCCTTCCTTCCTTCCTTCCCTCCTTCCTTTCTTCCTTCCTGCATCACATAAGCAAAGCAAGGATAGCGAACAGCCACAAAAGCAAAAAGCAACAAAAGCCAACAGAAGCCTTCGAAAGTCAACACAAGTCACCAAAAGCCAACAGAAGCCAGCAAAAACCAACAGAAGCGAGCAAGAGCTACCAGAAGCCACTAAAAGCCACCAGAAGCCAACAAAAGCCACCAGAAGCCACCAAAATCCCACAGAAGCCACCAAAAGCCAGTAAAAGCCACCAGAAGCCAGCAAAAGCCACCAGAAGCTAGCAAAAGCTACCAGAAGCCACCAGAAGCCAACAAAAGCCAGCAAAAGCCAACAGAAGCTAGCAAAAGCTACCAGAAGCCACCAAAAGCCACCAGAAGCCAACAAAATAGCCACCAGAAGCCAACAAAATAGCCACCAGAAGCCACCAAAAGCCACCAAAAGCCACCAGAAGCCACCAGAAGCCACCAAAATCCAACACAAGCCAACAAAAGCCACCAAAAGCCAGTAAAAGCCACCAGAAGCCAGCAAAAGCCAACAGAAGCTAGCAAAAGCTACCAGAAGCCACCAGAAGCCAACAGAGATACCTAATGCCTAAACGTGAAAAAAAAAATCCAAAAAAAAACGAAAAAAAATCCTAGAAAAATATGAGTTCTACCTACTAGCGATTGGCCTCCACCTGACTCTCCTCTGATTCCGTTGTTCTGGTCAACAGAAACGCTGCCGCAGCACGGACCAAACGGCTGGGTTCCAGGCAGCGGTCCCACCGACCGATATGTTCGACCCTCCTCACGGCCAGCCTGTGAAACAGCATGTGAAGGCACCGATATCGCTGATTCACTAAGCGATGGCCTCCAACCTATTAGGAATGGAAGCTAATAGGAATGGCCTCCAACCTAATAGCGATGGTGTCCATATGTTGACAAACGTTTTCCACTAAGACTGAAGTTCATTGATTTGACCCTGCGTAGCTTCTGCTACTCTGTGCAACAAACACGTCTTTTCGGAACCTGCAGTTTTGTGAAGGTGTTGCGCGCTGAAAACCATTGGAATGGCCTCAAGACGCACCAACCATCTGAAGTCCAAAGGTGCACATTCTGAGGCGGTGGCAAATATCCATCTAGCCAAGGATATCTTCTAACCTGAAAGTCTGTGTGGCAAAGGAACAAGAACGTCCACTTGACAACTAGAAATGTGTATCGCCCCAGTTGCACTGAACATATGTGTTGCCCAACACATATGCAAGCATTTTATGAAACTGAAACATTTAAAGAACTACTAGGTTGGAAACTGAAGAACTGCTAAGTTGGAGGCCATCGCTATTAGAAACAAAAAAGAAACAAGGAATAAGGTCTAATATAGTTTGCTTTAGGAACAAGAAGCTACTAGGGGCTCCTGGCCTTACTACTAGCAGCAAGGACGCTACAAGCAATATACGTATCATGGGCAAAACGACTTCCGTGTTGATGTCGTGCATATTGGCCTCCAACCCGATTGGCCTCCACCCTAGTAGCGATGGCCTCCAACCTAATAGCGTCCTTGTTACTAGTAGTAAGGCCCGGAGCCCCTAGTAGCGTCCTTGCTCTTAGTAGCGAGGCCCGGAGCCCCTAGCGTCCTTGCTCCTAGTAGCGATGCCCGGAGCCCCTAGTAGCGTCCTTGCTCCTAGTAGCGG